TTTTGAGACCGGTTACTTTGCACTTTGCACGGCTTATTGAGCAGCACAGGTGGATGATGCCCCTGCACATGTCCCAAATCATTCATGAGTTCCTGAACGCCAGAGTGCAACCACAGGTTCTCTAGACGCTCGTCGCGTCCTGGAGCCTAGGGCTCATCCAGGCCCACAGGTCCTCTCATCATGTATTCAAAAATCGAATACTAAGCCTAGCGTCAGCCGAGCGACTGTACACTGCACAAGCAAGGCGACAGCCAGCAGCGGATCAAACAAGTCAACAACAAACAGCACCACCACAGAGCCAACAACAACAACAAAGGCAAAGGGGCACGGTGGCCCGCATCCCAGACTGCAGAAAGACAAGCCGTAGAGGCTACAATCCAAGGAACTTGCCGAACAGGAGTGCCTGGTCGTTGCAGCACCAAGAAGAAGCGACAGAGAAGTCTGCCGCATCACACGGGATCACCATGAAGGTGTCGGGACGCCAATCCTCGTGCCAAGACCGCAAACATCACCCCGTCAAAGCCACACTACATGCCGAAGAAGAACTCCGAAAGCACATAGCCACGCATTAAGTCGAAGAAGAACTTCGAAGGCCTCAGGCCACACCTCAAATGGATCAAACACCACGCGATAGTCACACTCACCATGACGACAGGGTCGCGACCCTCCCCGCTTTGACGCCTCGGGTAAGGCCAGGAGAGACGAACAGTGATCCGCTGCTCGCCGTTCCCGTCCGGGGGTATTTGTCATGCAGGTCATTTCCTGCGCCGCTGCTCCAGGTACAGCGACGCCCCCCCCTCCCCTTTCCGGGGGACATGTCCCGAATTAAGTTTACCGCTATACCATGGATTCACTGAGGTCCGAGCTAAACGCGCGCTGCATGAACGCTCCAGAAACGCACGTTCTTCCGGCATGGGGCGCGTGCGGTGTAGCTGGCAGCAGGGGCCAGCTTTTTCAAGGTGGTGGGACATTTTTCATTCCTGGGCTCCTTGTGCTCTGCCAGATTTGTAATAAACGCTTTGAGCCAGACCTGGGCGTTGCCAGACTTAATCTACGGCTCACGCGGCTAGCCCCTCACGCGTTGACGCTGTAGCTTCCATGTGGGGTCAGCCGCGTGTTGGTCACCACAAGAGCTTGACAGTCTGCTCAACTGGCTCTTGCGCCGTTGACGCGTACCCCTAAACCCACCCCCTGCGTAGTAGTCGGTTCGAGGTCGTTTGAATGACAAAATCCAAGGAGCCATGATCCCAATTCCTAAACACTGCACTCTAGACCCCTACTCACCTGCTCCCCGAAAAGGGGCCCACCAGGGCTCTTCGGCCCGTCCGGCTTCATCCACCCTCGGCTTCGCCTCATTGCGGGCACGGATGGCCGCGGAGTGGTTGCTGCCGGGACGTTGAGACGCAGCGGAAAATATTGCGGGGGTGTGGGACAGTAAGACGGGTGGATACAGATAGCAAATCGGCAAGCATTTCTGAGGGTAAGCTCCGCTTTTTGCTGGCTCGTTCAGGGTATTGTAAATTTGAATCCTTTTTTTTTTGAAGCCATTCACTGAAGACCGAGTCAAGTGTGAGGTAGTCATATGTATGTGTTGGACGCTGGCTGCAGCGTAGTAGTTTTCCGGGCTCCGAGGCTTCTTGCAGGTTCCTGGAGTATTTAGTCTGGTATTGGAACGGTGGTTCATTTAACATATCGTCTCCAGCTTAAGCATAATCCACCACCATGTTTCCTGGGGCTGAGGCGCAAAGGGTCCAGCAGGATTCTCTCCATCAACAGAAGCTTTCCCTGACACATTCATGCAGGCCATCATCGCGAGGAGGTGTAAGCAAGCCTCCCGCTTTTGGAAGCTGTGCGCTAGAGCAGGTAGGCCCTCTGGGTTGTGCAGCATGACAGTGCGGTCCTGGGGATTTCATTTTGCAAGAGTTGTGAGAACCTCAGCAGCTTCATAATGCAGATCCATGATGAGCATGGAATAAGCGACTGCTGTCACACGGAGTCACGCGTCCAAGTATGCACTTACAGGTCTGGGATTTTGTAGGCTTTTGGATGCCGTCTTTGAGTCGTCCTTGCAACCACTTGCAGGGTATCCCAGAGTTCCTTGATGTTGAGAAGGGCCTTACGAATCTTTGCCTAATGAACCAAATCGAAGCTCAGGAAAAAGGATGAAGTGATCCTCCAGGCTGTTGCGGGCTAGACTTTTTGCATCATCTGGGGACAGGAACGTATTGTCATGGGAGTTCACCCGCAGAGTCATATAGTAGACGCATCTCCACATGGTTCCAATATGTTCCAATGAAGGTCTCCGTCAATAACTTGAGCTTCGATTCTGAAAGCCGTTCTGCGTCGACACAGCTAGGTGCGCAGCCTTTTTATGACAGGAGGTACGCAAACTAGGCATAGGCCTTGGAAGAGAGGAATTAGAAATCACGCCGTGGGGATGTCTTGTAAGGAGAACAAGCAATCAAAACGGATCCTTGTTCTGCCAGGCCCTACAGTGGTACGTAGTAGTGTCCATCCTGTCGCGTTGACCTGGAACACTTAAGCATCCTAAGGGCAGCTGACACAGTCACCCTTGTGCAACTTGTGAATCTTTTCAACAAGTAGTGCGTTGTCTTTAGCCACCCTCAGAAGGTTTGGTCCACAACCTGTGGCGCCTCGTCGCATCAGCAGCATCTGTGGTTGCCAGCAGCCACAAGGTTTGGGCTGCTGGCTAATAATAACCTTGAACCCCAATGCTTCAGGCCACTAAACTACACATCCTTGAATAATTTGTTGAATCTCCGCGCCTCTGGACCCCACAACTCCCAAGCCCTAAGCTCCTAAACCCGAAAAAGAACGAAAGTTATGTTAAGCCGCAGGTGCCTCTGAAGTGCATGCTTCGCCGAAAGCTCCCGTGGTCTGAGGCTGCTTCCCAACAGCTTGTGGATTGAAAGCAGGGCTTCAGCTTGCGACAGGCTTGAGTTTCTGACACACTTTCTGTACTCTTGATGGGGTGTCTGAATCGGGGAGGGACTTTAAGTGGTTCCTACTGCAACACATTAACTGGCTTGGAAACATCGTGAATTCTTGCATGTCTCTCTTGAACCCGTAGCTGCAGTAGAAGCAGTGAAGCACCCCTCTCTGACCCCCCCATGAGACCTCAGCTTGCACCTGTCCTGGCGGGTTGTTGACCATTTTCGTTCCAGCTTGATGCGCAGTTGTGCTGCGTAGAAGCAGTATTGCTGGAACAGAAGAGTGGCAAGAGGAAAGCAAAATGAGAGCAAGCATCCCAGGCTTGAACCGTACCGTTGAGGGTAGTGGTAGATACAAAATTCCATCACTACTACTAGCAGCAGCAGCAGACACGGATAAGAAGAAGCTGCAGCTGTAGTGGCGTTGGTAAAGGCTACGGCAGTGGGTGATGGTTGCGCATGTGGAAGTGGTACTAGTGCTGGTTCGGGTGTTGCTGCACGTCTAGCGTCACTAGTCTCTCCAGTGGTCGTCAAAACGTAGGCAAGAAGGTAAGGGCTAGACTAAAGAAACGTGAGATAGTCTGAGAAACTCCGCCTGTGATCAGGTACCTTTTTTCAAAGGCCGCCGTAAGGGGCTGTCGGAGGACTTGCTCTGCTTTCAGGTTGTGGGCCTCTACTTGTAGACGCTGCTTTTAAGCCCTGAGTGTGGTTTACTGACCCGAATTCCAGACTCTATAGGCTATGTGTGACAGGTGACTTGATGTCATGTTTTCCGAATCAAGTATTCTACCTGCAAGCATCACGTGTCCGCACGCATAGCATCAGAGAGTAATCTCGCCAGCATCTGAGGATCGCACGCCATGCAATGCAGGCCTTTTCAGCATGATTTGTATTATGTTCTCCGTATAAATGAGTTATACTTATGCAATAATATATACATATATATACACATAAAAGTGTATATGTAATATCTAAATTTGTGACAGCTGTACCTCTACTCCCAGCGGTAGAGGAGTCGTAGTATCAGTCGCCACAGTTTGCACAATGTTGGCCCCCACACACCAGGAACCTTCAACCCATGTCCTCTGCCCGGTGTACTTTCATGTAGCTTGCATTTTTGACCTATTATGAAGCAGGACGATGAGATCATCCTATTCCTGGCAGCCCTTCGAAAGTTCGGGCTCTATTCAGAGTGGTTCCTTGCTGAACATAGAAGTGTCAAAGCGTTTCGGCCTTCTTGTTTTGTAATCCTTGTATACATAGACATAGAGCCCATTATTTGGGGAACAGGGATTGGGTTGGCACAGCCAACTCGCAGCCACGAAAGTGGATCCATTTTGCATTGTTGTGGGCATGCAAACCCGTAGCCGTTCTTGACGCAGCCAATGGATTTCGCAACCAAAACTTGCCGCAAACGTGGCCCCTGAAAGACGTGGTTTCCGTAAGGCATTTCCGCCCTTTGTATTTTGCTCTTTGGTTGCCTTGAATACTTCACTCAGGTACCGCTACCTGCGGACGCTTCCGCTCGAGGAGGCCGATGCGCCGTTGGCCTGGACACCTGACGAGGTTGGGAACGCAGAGTTCCATCAGGCGTTATTGCTTTGGCTTTCAGTTTGCAGGTTCTTAGTAGACTTGGGAAGTATAGGTTCTAGGGATTCTTCGGCTTGTAGTTGGGGCTTGCTGAGGTTCAGTGATTCAGCAATCTAGGAAACCTTAGGCCTGTAAATTTTCGTTCCAGCCTCCCTGCCACGAGGCTCACAGCAAGATGTGCTGGGTTGCCATTCTTAACGCTGCTGTCAGAGAGAGATGCTGTGTTTCCATTGTGCTTTCTTTCATGGTGCGATCACCAAATACTGTGTTTTTGAGGCGTGACACACTACTTCTGCATCGCGCGTTGACAAGCAAAGCTGCGGGGCAGCTAGTGCTAAGGTTTGGTCCACTACCAGCATTGTCTTCACTGTTGCCACTGACATTGTTTGCTCCTGACAAATCCTGGCAAACATCAACCAGCATACTCTAAATCCGAATCCTGGACCACTCACTGACAAGATACTGGCGCTTCGTGGGACTCCTGCGCATTCAGATGCGAGGCAACTGCGAAGGCCAGAAATATTTCTCAGGGGCTCCCAGGGAGTACCTATAGTGCAGTCGAACATGATTTACGCCTCAACGGGTTGCAGGGATAGTTTGTGCAGAGTCCGTAAGTAGAGGGTGGGGTATTTCTAGCAGGAGGACATCGTTGCTGCTACTGCCTGGAAGTCATATAAGCATGGTTTTGATTGTTATGTTTGCTTCATGGTTGTCAGCTTTGTGGGGGTGACTGCCCTCTAGGCAGCTCCTTGCCCTGTGTGAGCGCTTCGCGCGAGAGTTTGCCTGTTGGCGCCTCAAGCCAGGGTTGCTATATTGCAAGTTTCCCTGCCAGACGTTATGCAGAATGTGAACGTCTTCATGACGAATGTCTGCACTTGTTGTTGGATCCAGGAACATCTCTACTTCGGCAATCAGCTTAGTGTGGTTTAGACTACTAGTATTGTCATAGTTGCAGATTCCTTTCGGGACAATTTGCTTTATATACAGCAACCTACATGCTGTGGCACCAAGACCTTGTATGTGCAACTTGCAAGGGCCTCTAAGGCCGCCAGTGTGCCTTGAGATCTTCTGGTGAAGGCTGTGTGATGGTAAGTGGGTGGTAGTACCGGTCTGTGGGTCATGATTTCGTCGGAGATAGCTCATGGACAACCGCTCATGAAGATGAACCTCCAAGGCCGAAAGATCGGCATCTTTAAAGCAAGAGGCCAGGAATAAAAGCATTTTGGGTGGAAGCGGCTGAGATTTCTCCCTCAAGGTTTCTGAGGGTTTGGGGAGGTTTGGTTTTAGAGTGCGAATTCTGTTTGGCTAGCTGCAGTCAGTGCAGAGATATCTAGCAGCTTCTCCGTATAGAAATCTGAAAATTGCTAAGAACATTGCTGGATAGGCAGTTGGATAACCCCTTCTCATACCTCCCGGTCCTATGCTCTTTTTCTTTTTAGGCCCTAGACTCCGCTGAGGTGAGGATCTCCGGTGGGCTGCTAGCCACTACTGGAGCCGGGCGGTGGCGGTGGCCGCTGGCCGAGAGGGATGGTGACTGGAACTTTGGAAAATGAAGAGCTTTACTAGCTGCATCCTGACTCCTGACTTCATTGGCATGGATGAGCACAATCCTAGCAGTTGTCTGCGGCTGCAAGTCAGAAACTTCAGAGTCTCCATCCCATGCAGCAAACCACGAAGCGAAGCTGTTGACGCCACTTCGGCTGAGCGTCTCCACCCACCTCACAATTGCCAGCTGGCAAGAATGCACCCTAGCGCCAATGGCGGTGCTGCAGTTTCGGGACCAAGACATGCAAACTCATCAGACTTCCAGGACCGTGGCTCTGCCAGCATGTGCAAAGAGTAGCTCTTGCACTCAACGCAGCCTGGCCTGCGAGTCCTACATAGCGCAGGCTACGCCGCAGCTTTGAATGGAAGCTGCAATTGGGCGTTTTCCTTCCAGTCGGCGTAGACCTGTGTGCACCTTAGGAGGAATGTAGGTTCACGAAAGTGCCAACCGCGTTGCAGCCAAGGCTGGGGCCACGCCAAAGCCTTTCCGGGCACTAATCCCGGGAGCTGCCCGTTTGCAAGGGTTTTGGGGGGTTTGGGGTTTCATCTTCGGGTAGTTCCTGAATACAGATTACGTTCGTAATGCTCCTTCCGATGCTCTCCTAACCACCATTTAAATTTCGTAGTCCTCTGACCATTGGAGACCGTGATCGTTTGTCTTTCTATGATGACAAGATGTTGGTAGAGGGTACTGGCACACTTTCATAGTATTTTGTGTTGTAATTTCTAATGTGATCCTCAACGTTGTTCTTGCTTTGCATGTGATCCACTGTCCAGCAGTGGAGGCGACAGAGGAGGAGCTGGGGGGAGAGGAGGGAGAGGAGGAGAAGGAGTGCCTGCGCACCCCGCTGGATGACTTTGCATAGGCTAATGGAAGGATGGGCTTTTAGTTGGACCAGGTGTGCTTGTCAGATGTGTCAGATGCTGCTCTTTTCTGGATGCAGTTTGGACATGCCAAACCTTTGACTGCAATGAGCATCTTGGATTTAAGTTCTACTGTATTTCGCTATCTCCGACGGCTGCAGTCTGGGTAAAGTTTATTCCTCTTGGTGCGGTGTTGCTACAGTGTTGCTTGGTCGGCATCCTGAAAACGGGGAGGAGTTTGAGCAGCTGCGACTTTAGGTGGGTTGTCTGAAACATGATTTTAACGTGGTGGGAGGAACGCGTGTGCTCAGCGAATTAGCAACGTAGTGTACAAAAAGCAAAGTCGCGGCGGTAGTGGCAGACCGAGACTGGCACCGGAACAAGGGCTTAGTTATCATCCACAAAGAAGTTGTTGGCACTTGACTGCTGGCTGTGAGGACTCCTGCTTTTTTTGAGAGGCCATGCCTGAGACCCTTCTGCTGTTGGACTTGTGCAAGTAAAATTCTGAATACATTCTTCTGCAGGATCATCTTCATCTTCATTCCCCATACCCCAGCTTGTTTACCACTATGCGCTGCTGGGAGAAATTAGTGCAGTGGGTGTTTATCTTGCTCGACTTCTGCAGCTCCAAGTTCTGGTTCTTTGCCAATGAAAAGAAAGCGCAGAGATGCCCCCGGCCTTCCACCAACTATAGTAAGTCAGACGAGTGTCCACCTGCCTGTACCTCGGACCAGGTTGACTTGCTGAACTTCGATCCCGATGCGCCAAACTACTTCCGCGTGGCTGGGCCGGGCACGCAGCTTCTGCTTGTGAGACAGCATGGGCTTTGTCACTCCACTAGTTTCTGACATTACAACTTGGCAGGCAAACTTTCGCGTCAACTTGCCAGGGTTGACATTCATCCAACAGGTATGTGAAGTGCATTAGAACCTATGTCATGCTGTTGTCCCAACTCTCGTTTGAGCATGATGTGCACTGCTACTGCGGGACCCCAAAATCTGATTCCACTTTGGGGTACCTAATACTGTATACAGAAGATACTAGACATACATTGAGATACCCTAAACAAGCAGAACGGTAAGATGGCTTAGGCATGCATAAGGTTTAGCATGGTTTAGCATTCCTTCTAGGATGCGGTTGCGAGCACCTGGGAAGTCTCAGGAAAAGCATCGTCTACGTTGCAGGCGCTCCACGCGTAGATGCATCCTTTCTTGGTTTGGCATAAATTTCCTACGTAGGACTTAGGGTCTGCAGCTGGGTTAGTGGCTCAGGGTGTAGGAATTCGTGAGCAGAATGTCACAGTGAGGATGTGCCAGATGTAAGAGTCATAGATAACGGGAAAGCCTAAGAATGCCTCAGAGCTGTGAAGCTACTTGTAGTAGTTGAAGTCTTTCAGCAGACACGTCTTGCCACCTCTCATTCAGTCCTCCTTGGTTTCCTCTCCTTATCCAGCCTAGTTTTCGGCAAGACCAGGTGTACGTTACAAAGGTCCCTTGATGTGCGTTTTCTGAACTTGGGTTATTCCGTTATGCCAAATATCGACCTTTACGACCTTTACATTTGATGCCTTGGCAGGATCCACATGATCCACGCTTTCAAAGACTGCAGGTTTGGGAGTCTTACGTCGCTTGATCCTGGCCCCAACTCAGCGATACCGTCCTGGATGGCTCTTGCACCTCATAAGTCACTGGCACGCTGATCTTATATGGTATAGAATGGCAATCAGGGTGTCTTTCGTAGGTACTTGCACATTTAAATATCAAAGGGCAACGTCATGCTTGCCAGAGATCCTCTCAAAGCATCTTCCTGAACACTTGAGCCTGAACAAGTCTTGACTTAAAGGCAGAGATTACGCTGCTGGCGAGGAGATTCGCGACAGCTACGGCAAAGGTGGGAAATTCAAGTATGACTTGCGACTTCAAGGGTAGCACTCATTGGAAATCTTTTCAAAGCTCGGTGTTGATGCATAACGTGGTTTTGCGAACTGAGCAACGGATTCCCAGTCCAGAGTGCAGCAGAATTTTCTCCTTTGTGTTTTTTTTGGCAATCTGCCTGTGTGCAGTTTCAAGGGTACTGCCCATGGAGCCTGGAGAATTGAGGAAAACTCACCCAAAGAACCTATTGCGCTTTTAGCCTCCGACTCGATTACGTATGTTTTCAGAAGGCGCGGACCGAAGGCGAACATCTTTGAATCGGTTACAGGCTGCGGGGCTTGCCAAGATAGTTCTTAAGCTCATGAGTCTATCGGCCCTATCGCCATTTGTGCCGCCTGAACCCTAAGCTTTCACAAGCTACACCCTGGACTCCTGGACAACTTTCCCTCCTGAAGCTGTGTAAAGCCTACCGCCCGCCACCGCCACCACCTCTCACTAAGCAAGCAGCTAGAGAACTGAATGGCTAATCGTAATCAGGATGCAAGCATAGGAGAAATATAGAGCTATGTATAGGGCAGATTTCCAAAATGCAGGTATGCCATGAAACAGGAAGCTCAACCCGATAGTCAGGCGCTTGAGATTGTGTTGAAGTCTTGCACGCTATGCAGTCTGAGTAGCTGCGCGCAGTCATGTCCTCAGGCTGGCGTGGGTGCACTCTTAGCACGTTTGCCATTTATCCCGCCCGCTGCCACCAAAAACGAAAGCCACAGGCAGTGGCTTGGGGTCACATGCAGTCGCTTGCGTGGCTTGCGGCCAAAATCTGTCGTCCTTCCATTATCGGCGTAAGTTTCCGGCTTGTCTTCTGAGTGCTCACAGCGAGTCGAGCGCCCGCCCTGCCTTCATGACCTTGCTGCAGCGTGCTTGGGGAAGGTTTTACATCTGCTCTGCATTCAAAATCCTCCTTGTCGCAGTGCTCGCATTCGTGTTTTCTCCATCAGTGCAATGCAGACACATTCCTGAACGCCTGTCGCCCAAAACATGCGGCGGCTTGAATTGGCTACGGCACGGCGGCTATGGTGAAGCTCTGGTCCAGTACGTGGCGCTGGGGGTTTGTCATAATTACGAGCTTCCCAAAAGCAAGTGGAGTGACGAATCAGGATAACCTATCACCTGTGCATCCTACCGCAAATCCGGAGAAGGCAAGAGTGTGTGCCAATTTTGAGGAATCCCACTTACCGGCATCTGTGGCTAGCGGCTAGACCCTCTCAATCATTGTCAGTGCGCAGGCAAAAACGACACCAACCTGCTGGTTCATTATGGCTTCCTTGCGAAGGACCGAGATTTGGGAGCATACGATTCAGGGTGTTTAGGTTTAGGGTCAAACAGGGCCTAGAGGGCCAGGCCAGGCATCTGGGACGGCTGTAATACGTACAGATGGATCCAATCATGGTTCTATAGTTTGAGTACATTACTATTTTTGCCATCAGAACTGTGGCAGCCATGAGTGACATCCGGCGCAAGACTTTTCCTCAGGCATCTAATAGGAAGATTTTGCTGGGAGTGCTTGGCACCTGAGCACGTACGGAATGTCAGCCTTAGAGTCCAGTCCCCAGCGCAAATGCTCTAGTCCAAGAGTGTTCTAAGCAGGAAGCTAGCGAAGGGCGGAGAGCAAATTTGAAATGCCTTACTCGGTATTGAGCCTTGGAACTTATTATAACTGCTGGTTCATACAGCTTGTGGAATTGTAGGCGTGAATGTGACCATCGCTAGCATCTCCTTTCTTGGCTCGCGTGGGAATGCAGTGCTACTGAAGGACCCCGCGAGAAACTTTGTGGAGCTTCCCTTGCCTGCAGCCACTGGTGAGTGCGACGCTGAGTACCCTGCTGCTCGCAACCCAACTCTTGGCACACAGAGCCCGCCCGAAGCTGGCTGACTTGGGGTCACAAACAAACAGGCTGGTCCGGCAGAGTCCTGTTTGATGGCGCTGGCATCAGACCTTGCGCGTGGTTGCATCGTCCGGCTGCTTCAGCGCAAGGGAGTATGTGGAGTGGCTCAGGACATGCTAGAATCTGGAACGTAGAAGCTTCAGCATTGTTGAAGATCGTTTGGAAAAGCTTATTGATGCACAAGAGGCAAGTGGAGGTGGATTAATGAACCCCGCCGTCATGCAATAGCAGGAGCAGAAGCACCACATGCAGTGGGTGGGCGTGCCAGTGTGTTTAGGATTGGCAGTTATCGGTGCGCGCGTACCTCGCGACACATGGATAATGCTGTAGTCTCGGCTTCAAGTCTCCTGGAAAACGGTTTTCTGAACGCATTTCGCCAAAAAGTGCGATGGATTGCATTGGTTGCCGAGGCCATAGTCCATAGTCCCATCGCACTAAGATGCAACTACGGGTCACCTTACATACTTCCCTGAAAAATGGAATCTCCCAAAGGATTCCCCCAACGAGCAAATCCTGCAAAGCCTCAGACTTCCAGCATTGTCTGAGGCACTCGCATCTCAAAGACCAGATGCTGGCTTCCACCAGGCCCACCCAAACCTCCGGGAACCAAAAGCCACATTTCAGTTCGTAGCTTAAACTCTGGGAAGGGGATGATGACTCGTTGCCACGGCCATGATGATGACTTTGAGGATTGTGCACCGGATGAGTGTGATTCTCGGGCTAGTAGTCAACATCAAAATCTGAGGGCACAGGCTTGCCGTTTGCTCTTTCAACCAGATTTTGCTCTTCAGCTGCACGGTTTCAGCACCTTCTTCTCAGCTGACTTCTGTCGTCATTGACGGTAATTAGTGGAATCCCGTCTTCTGCTTCATCGATGCCAGGGCCGAACACTTTCTTGCACCATGTTGAGGACAAGCATGTTGCAAGGCTGAGAAGCCCGGTCAGCACAACCCGACTGGGTAACCCCAATGTGACAAGCCTCGGTTCGCAGTGTAGCAGTGTAGCCTAGCATGTTCTCAAACCTTCAGATCTCACAGCCCTCAATGCATCAGGTGTGGGTCAGGTCCCTCTCTCTCTCTCTCTCGCTTCTCCCACTCTCTCCCTCCCTCCCCTTTCTCAAGGTTTACCGCGACAGACCAAATGCTGCTCCGCAAGCCAATGTGTAACAGAAATGCCAAGATTCCAAACATCTGCAGAAAGCCCTGGGAGATGAAGAATTTCTAGCTCAGATTTCAACCTTTGGATTTTGCTGATAGCAAGATTCATGCCAAGCCCTGCAGCGCTGGTCGTCAACACATCAAGATTCTGGTGAGTCCCAAGCCAGGATGGATCAGAGGTTGAAAGTCCGGATGGAAGGCAAGTTGTAGTGCGGGAAGTGAATCTCCTAAGTGGCATAGATTGGGTTACGGTACACTGCTGCGCCTAGCATGGTCGGACAACTTCACTACCTAGCTGGTTAGGCACTGGCATGGAAACCTCAAGCATATCGGTCCGGGTCTGGTGGAAACTTGCAACGAACGTATACCCGAGGCTGCTTTTGTTTGTGTCGGTCATGGGCCGTGAGAAGAGCACCAGCCCCCCGGGTTGGTTCCTCCCTTTAAGCAACTCAGATAAGTTGTCGTAACGGTGTGCCAGTAGAGGGAGGAGGATAAGGACTGGCAGAAATTCTGGCCTCGTAATCTACAATACCTTCTCACGCCACGTTCAAAGCATGAACCTCACACATCCATCCCTCAAATATGTGCGCATTGCACGCGCTCCATCGTCCCGAGAAGCCGCCCTTTACATGCAGCAGGTGATGTTGAGGGAGTCAGCGCGTGTACGCCTTGGCACTTGAGCAACACGTTAGAGGTTTGATAGCAACGGAGGGTAACGAGGGCGAAGGGCTTCAGCTGACGATTAGTTTGAAGGGTGGAGAGGTCGAGGGGAGAAGCCAAAGCTTAGGCCCAAGCACGTTCCTTTTCCCAGAATTGGCTAGGCCTGTGGTCTGTGTCTGATGTGGACGGATGCTGCACAAAAGCCAGGCAAAGACACAGAACATCAGAGAACCGTGAACTGCAAACCTGAACCAAACCTGCCTGTTGAGGCTGAGGCTGCTGCAGCTCAGCGGAGAGGAGTTCAGCGTCTTGACCTGTGAAGGCTTCACGGGTGAGGCTTCAAAGGAGAGGATCCAGGCTCCCGTCATGTGGGATTTGGCGCTGTAGAATGTAGAGGCTTGAGAGCCTGGCTTTGGGTTGGGAATCTGGTGTGCATTTGTAGCCTCTGCCTATGCAAGCCTGAATCCTTACTTCAGGGCCTTTACAGATCATGCGTTTCCGGCTCGGGGGATTACGGATCATGGCGCCTTGCTTGTAGCTCGTGTAAGCAGAAGTCCGACTTCAAATGACACTGCTGGCATGACTGCGTGGGTTTTCCTGTGCAAAACAAAGAATAGATTTAAGTGATTTGCTACGTACAAGTAGCTGCTCCGAGGTGCTTCCATAATCTGGAATCTCTAGTGGTTAACTTGTGGCTTCTGACGCGGAGCCCTCAGGATCGAATCCTCTTGGGCGCGTTGCACGCCATTCAATTAGTTCCTGCCACAAACCAAGCACACTTTCTTCAACCATTAGAGTTGTTGCTCATGCTCAGTACGATGGTGGATTGGCAACGGTTTACGGATTCCAAGGAGCCTTGGATGACGGAGTAGAACAGATAAACCCCTTGACCAGGACTTTGTAGATTTCGGATGAAGATGTCTTGCATTTTTTGGACAAACACCAGCTCGGACGCTGAACCTGATTAGCCAACTTGTGAGGCCCTCATCCATCTCCGTGCCAAGGCTCCTACAACGTGCATGCGATGCTCTCACGCTCGCCGGTGCCGGTGCCCCGCCAGGGCCCTCATGCATTGCAGAGCCTAGTTTGTGAGTTGTGGGGTGAGCCATCGGGAGAGGTCATTGACATGTATTCACATGGTGGTTGGCGCTTTTATGAGAACTGCTCCTTCGAATCACTTCGCGCAGCCTTTCCCGAATGCTTCTGATGTTCTGGTTTTGGCCTCGCTGTTTTTCCAGACCTTCACGAAAATCATGATAGTCTTATTGCAGGCCTAAGCACAGCAGATGACTGTTTTCGGCAGGGGCTCCGTGAAGGTACAGCTTTGAGAAGCTTCTGGCGGGACAGATAGATAACGGATTCCTGTCACATGCACTTCAAGTATGGCGCTGTAGCGTGCTGACTCCCGCCTGTTTTGTTTTGACGTTCTTTGTAGTGCGAACAGTTTTGGGTCGAGTTGGGGTGTGTGGTGCATAACGGAGACCTCAATTATCAGAAATGCTGAGATCATGTAACTGGAGCGGCATCCACTCCAGAACGGCTAAACAGATGCAACATGACAATTGGGTGGTCATCTGTGCTGTTGTCAAGGAGGGCGCAAAGCTTTATTCTTCAACAGAGGTCATGTTGCTACTAAGAACTGTACTGTAGTTGGATTTAACAATGCCGTGCCTGCGGCATTCTCTCGGCCGATTTCAGTGTTCTTGTGTCAGCCAAGGTGTTGCTCGTGCTGAGGTGCGGGGCTGGGGTGGGGCTGAGGGAAGGTGCTGTTATCAGTATTGCAACCGTCAAGGTCAGGTTTCATGGCAATGACTCCAATTCTGTTTTATCACGATTGCGATGGTGGCTGCTAGCATTACTTGCTGGCACACCAGCTAGCTCCCGCTACAAACGACGACAGCAACAACAATCAACTACTGCCACTACTATTACTCCTCCTGCTGCCGCCGCCTCCACCAATCACGGGTGGAAAAGACTTTCAGGTCACTTCAGCATACCCAGAACCCTGGACTCCCTTTCAAGAATGGTTATTCCTCGTTTCTAGAGCTGCTGCGACAAGGCGTAATTACATATCCTCAGAGTACAGTACTTGCCACCTGAAGCACCACATTCGGGTCATTGGATCCTTACCGTAAGCATTGCATATAAGGGCCCCGATGCTGTTACCCTCGAACTCTGAACAAATTGAGCCGTAAAGTTCCAATCCTGTAGTCCTGCAGCTTAGATGGCCCGCCAACTGGTGCTTCGCGTATGACGCTATGAACCAAGAACCTAACACCCAACCTACTTCGACAAACATCTACAGAAATTTGTCAATGAGCCATGCCATGGCCACCCCGAAGCAAGGTCCAGGGTTCTCAGAAAACTATGAGTACTGCTAGTACGGTTGTCTCACCCTCACGCGCACACTCGAGCGCCTGCATTGCAAACCCTGAGTGTGAACCCAGAGCCCGTAATCCACAAAATCCGGAGCCCCAATCCTTGCATCCTAGACCCCTATAGCTAAAACGCAACAGCCACGATGAAAAGGTCGACTGAAATGCCAAACCACAAGTTGTGCTGGTAAAGCGATTGGCCCCCCAAAGCAAGATTCTGCCTGTGGGGCATGGCTTCAAGGGCAGGAAATGCTGGATACCACCCTCAACCCCTAGTTGTTGGCGTGGCAGGACGATATCAGCTTTCGTGAATCACTTGCCTTGTCATTATTGTTAAGCTCTGTTTGATGTCAACTATTCAAAGGTCAGATACCAAGCACTCAGCCACCCCTTTACCTGAATCATTTTGAGCCCTGTAGGCAGCCAGCATGATGTGGCTGATGAGTAGCTGTGGGGCGCAGCTTTCTGAGCTACGGAGGCCAGCTAGCTCAAAGATCAAATTCGTTATGATCGAGTGTTTCATCCAGACAATAAATACTCTACCTCTCTTCACACTTTCGCAGTTGTCAGCCCCATCCTTCATGGGGGCTTCCGGGAGGCACGAGTCAATGGCGCTAACGCTCAAGCGGGATGCACCTAGACATCTGGTCACCGAATACCGGGCCGGATGCTGAGATGTTGCTACTCTCACGTGCAAGGCCTTACTTTCTTCCCTGTTCCTTGGGCAGCTCACGTAGATCTCGCTCTTCGGTCCTTGTCTTCCAGGATTTGATGCGCACGTCCGAAGTGTTTCACTGAGCAGTAGAATCAGCAATTGTATTCACGGTTGATTACCCAGACCGGTTGCAATTCGGCCGGATATCTCGCTTCATCCTTCTTTGTCCCAGATGCCCGGCAGAAAGGTTCCTGTTTGAACTGTTGGGTCCAGCGGTCCAGGAGGTGACTAAAAATGTTGCAAGCATCCGGGAGTGTGGCCACCCGGCTGGTTTCCGGGCCGTTATTCTGACTCTTGGGCCCTCGTGTTCGCATTGCGTATCAGAAGTGTCGACAATCACATGGCACATGGTGGGCAGCCCTCCTCGTAATTGTCGTCCTGTCCGGAGCAGAAAGTACGGAGCGGAAAGTGGAGTGGAGTGTGGAAAGTGGAATGGAATGGAGAGTGCAGAGTGGAGAGTGGAGTGCGTGGAGTGGAGCGGGAGAACGGATAGAGGGAGAGTGGAGCGTGGAGAATGGAGACTGCATGGAGTGGAGATTGGACGGAGTGGGGGAGGAGCGGAAGGAGTGGAGGGGGATGGAGGGAGTGGAGGGATGGAGGGAGCGGAGAGGACAGTGAAGAGTAGAGAGTGGAGAGTGTGACACAAAATCAGCGCGAATTACGTGTCCGGGGTCTGCATTCGGGTTGATGGACTCCTAGTAAGTTTTTTTTGTCTGTACGTCGTACGACCCTGGCCTTAGCTGTTGTTGAAGTGCAGAGGTTCAATATCCGTCTATTTGGACGCTTCATGCTCTGGTGTCCCTGCAAGCCGTGGTTCCGCTTGCCTGCATCACCTTGCCAAGGGTTCTGGTTGGGTGGTGCCCCTTTTTTTCTCAAGCCCGAGATCCTAGTCATCTATGAAATCTCCCCGCCACCCCGAATCAATTTAGGATCTTGAGGATGTGATTCCCCAAACCCATCAAATCAGAAAACAGATTCTTGATAAGGAGGACTAGATTCTTCAATGTCTGAAATATAGGAGGTTCGCACCGGGTAGGCGTGCGGCATGACAAATGGAATCAATAGATATTGATTAGGGCGCAGGCAGAGCGGGACGTTTTGGAGAGGATCCAAAACAGGATTGAGTGGTCTTATGCTGATAGAACTGTGGCCATGCCTTTCAGTTCAATCAGGGTGAATACTTGCTGAACGTGCTCGGCAGGTTATGCAACACCAGCTCAGGCCCTGATCCCTCAGCCCCCTTCGAACATTCGTTGGTTCTTCGTTATGAACGTTCGTTGGCTTGGAAATCAAGTCCCCATGTTGCTAAGGACTATACCCGGGATTTTTTGTAGTAATGAAGGCATAGCAAACTTCCTGATCCTTCTAAGCAAGTACGCAGACAAGGCTTTCCAACTTCGGGTTCACTGCAGCTCCTGAGGCCAGAGTGGCGCGGCTGTGGGCAGGATGTGTCGAGGCAGCGGGCAATTTGCGATGTTGGCCACCTTCCGGGTCGTGTTCAGAAGTTGGGTTCACTTCTTTTTGGCAAAGGTGTGGCTCTGTCCTGGAGTGGCACTGGTTTCTCTTAACGTCATAAATCCAGTGCTCCCATGGTCCTCTGTTCTAGTCCCGTCGTTCTTTAGTCCCGTGGTCCTCCGGTCCCGTTGTCCTGTGGTCCAGAGGGTACTATGGTCTTCTGGTTTTCTGGTGGTCCTGTGGCCCCTAGGCTTCGGTCCCATGGATAAAGGATCGCTTGCGAGGATCAAGGGGCAGGTACATCGATGACAACATTTATCAGAGTACGATCTGTCACTTCAGGAACATGTGTGTGGAAGTACAACCGCGGCACCCTAATTCTGATGATTTGCCAGGAGTCAAGCAGGCGGCTCAAGCTGATCCCGCAGGGGTCCAAGAAGCAACGCTCCTGTGGTTTGATCGGGATCAAAACTACGATCCACGTGTTGCCACTGTAGCAGTTCTAGCACAACTGTAACTAGGAGTAGCAGTAACAACAACAGTGAAAGCAAAAGTAGTTGAATTCAGCAAGCAGAAGCAATTAGCATGAGTGGTGGAACTGTGGAATTAAGAGCATGCGCAGCAACGAAGAGAGTGCTCACAGTAATATTGATAGGTATGAAGCTAGCCATGATGCCACAAAGTGGATCCCTTCTACCGCGTGGTCCTCATGAGTCGCGTTTGGGCGTAGAGGGCACGCTTTATACTGCTGGTAGCTGAAAAGCCACATCTAGCATCTTTTCCAACTCGTGGTTCCAAGTCTGTAGCCGCTTTGCCTTCCAATCCATCTGGGCCTCAGAACAACGGGTCAACTCGACTCTCCTGCTGCGAAATCTGGCCATCCTCAAGCCATTCCCAGACAATTTTTCCAGCTCTGTAAGGTCCCGCTTGTACTCATGGCATGCAGTCACCGCAGTCAGATTTAAAAGTTTGGAAGGCTCATTGTGGTCCTTCGAACAGCTTAGTGCAGAACCTGTCACAGGCAAGTGCCACCATACCGGGCTATTCAACCGCAAGTCGAGGTACTGAGCACCTGCGAAGAAGTTGTCTCTTGGGTTTCGGGCGTGGGATCTTGGGATGTGGGTTTCCATGGAAATGAGCTTCAAAGTCAACATAAGCTGGGTCTCCATCGATTCCCCGAAACCGATTCTATTTTTCGTGTAGAAGGAACGTCAAGCGTCAACGGAGCTGCTGTGAAGCACGCGTTTGCCGTAATGGTTATGTGTTGTGCCCTGACATTGCTGTGAAGGTTCGTTGTAAGTCTCAGGCCGGGGCAGTCATCATCAGAGTAGTCTCTGCGAAGCCCTTGACATCCTTGCGTGCTCAGTGTCAATGCAAAGAAAAGGACGCTGTCAGATTAGCATAGTCATGTCATTGACCCACGCGGAAGGTGGAAGCACCTGTGTTACGGACCAGTTTCCGTGTTCCACCTCGTCCGGCAAGGGGGATTTTTCTGCTTACTCTGGTACCTCTAGAGTGTTCTCGTGGTCATCCCTGTAATGCATTCACTCACCATTTCTTACGCTGTAGGTCATTTTTGGTAACTGTTCTTGCAGGGTTATTGCGACAAGGCAGCTGTAGCAGGCACAACTTTCGGCAAAAAGGTCTAGCTTCAGAGGGATCGAGACGGCTTCAAGAACCTGTGTTGGAAGATGACTGTTACGCTTTCAGTCAAAAAGCCAGGTTGACGGCATTCGTGCCGTGATTGCCATGGACGCACCCTTCATTTTTTGCAGACATGTTTGGTTTTTTGGTTGGAGTTCCCGTCTCACCGTCCGCAGCCAGTCTTTTTTCCCCTGTCTTTTGCCGCAGCGTGCCAGAGTGATGGGGTGCTCGACAAGTTGTGCCAAGCACAGAATGACCTTCGTCGATGGTAACATGCCGCGGCAAGCAGAGAGGAGGTTCTCGGCACCTCCACAGCAGGTCTTCCCACCCGATCTTGCCACCCACATGCAGTATGTCCGGACGCTCGATGGCTACCTCCAAAGAGTCTCGATGCATCCACAGAGTTTCTTGATGAAGGTTGAGATGCGCCGACAGGCATGCTTCGGGAACCTATTGGACTTGCAGATCGAAAGAGCCGTGCCGCTTCACAAAATGCGCAGCAGAATGAACGAAGCAGAGGATGGGGTCCGCATTGCTTTGTGACTCAAGGAGCTGAGCAGACTTGAGCTGAGAATTCATTGGGCAGTGATGGCGTTCACCCGCAACTCTGCAACCAACCGACGAATGTCGTGACGCTTCGCAACCTTCCATTGAAGTGTCTGCCTCTCCAGGTCTGTGTGAGATATCTTGCAGCTTGGTGCGGCATTGGTGGTCTTACCGCCGGTGTGTGTTTATGTCCATTTTTCAAGATCAGAGACCCTCGCTTGTGCAGGCTGGGCTCTCTGACATACCATGTTGCGTGATGCAATGACAAAAATGCGCACCACGCGTGCCTTTGCATACTCGGGGGCGAATTTCTCTCATCTTTAAGTCACTGGGATAAACAGCTCGACGAGCCTGGAGCAAGTGGAAGCTGTTTTGATTGTTTTGAGCTCCTGCATTTCAGAACATACAGGAGCAGAAAGGTTGCTGAGCATGTTTCGGGGTGTTGCTGGTATTGCTTTCAGGTGCCCCTGGATAGGGTAGGTATGGATGGCTTCTTCTCCATAACGCTCGTGAACTGCCTTGGGGCTTGGGCAATCAAGTCACAGGCAATTCATATGTACAAGTCCAGACTTGCAACATTAGCCTGAACTAAGAAGCCAGTACTCCTCGCAGGATGCAAGCTCGCAAAAATCCAAATGCCACGTGAAATGCTGGCTAGGCAATTTCAGCCTCACCGCCGAAGAGTGCCAATCGGCGAAGAAGAGGAGACTCTGCGTTTGAGGGTGGAGGTGTGCGGGATGGCTCATGGTTGTCCAGGTGCGCAAGGTATGAAGAGTCGGGCATGGTCCATGTCGTCAGAAATATTCCAGCACTGAGCTTTTCTCTGCAAGCAGTTCCACGGTTGTCAGCGTATGTGTGCAGGAGCATGGATTGTCATGTTCTGCTCATCTAGAAGCTCGCAAGCACCATAGCTTTGGAACTGCCCTCAGAACTGTGGCAAGCGCGGCTCCGTCTTCCTCTCTCTACACAGGGGCTTTTCATGACATGGATCGCCCAGCGCACGTTCAAAAAAAGGACAGCAAAAGGAGGGGAAATGGGCGCGCATGTCCAGAAGCCACACCGCGGACTCTTGCAGGAGCTTCCAAAGCGAAGAAGCTCCGCCAGCCTCTGAGAAGAAAGTTGTTGCAGCCAGACCAGTTGTCGAAACGATAGAAAAAATCTCATTGGCCCCGTTCAGGCTTGCACTTGTAGTGTTTGCCCAGCATATCCTTGCGTTTAGTTGCTGCGTGCCAGAGTCATGGGGTGCTCTTCAAGCTGTGCCAAGCACACAAAAGCCATGGCCCTTCCTGGTTCCATGCCGCGACAAGCAGAGAGGAGGTTCTCGGCACCTCCACAGCAAGTCTTCCCACCCGATCTTGCCACCCACATGCAGTATGTCCGGACGCTCGATGGCTACCTCCAAAGAGTCTCGATGCATCCACAGAGTTTCTTGATGAAGGTTGAGATGCGCCGACAGGCATGCTTCGAGAACCTATTGGACTTGCAGATCGAAAGAGCCGTGCCGCTTCACAAAATGCGCAGCAGAATGAACGAAGCAGAGGATGGGGTCCGCATTGCTTTGTGACTCAAGGAGCTGAGCAGACTTGAGCTGAATAGTCTCACGCAAATCATGGACAGCACTTGCGACCCCTGGCGCATGATTTAGCAGCCAGCAGCCCAGCATTGGGCTTCGGATGTTTATGCCCGTTCACATAATTCACCAAAGTATGTGCGTTTATCTTGGCAGTCTAGCCGTCACAGACGGTGTTCTCGAAGACCTGGGAGGTCTGAGCAAGATTTGATGCAGTTAAGACAAGACCCGGTCAGCTTTGCAAGTTGTCATTCGAATGCTGCAAGCATGAGCAAACTTCCCAGATGTCTCTGCCAGCAGTCCCGTAATTAGCGCAACTAATTGCAGGTCTGCCCTGTCAACGTGGCAGTGGCAAATAGGCTTGCCGCTACCGTGTACAGACTCCTTGCAAGCTCTGAGCTTTCAAGCCAGCTGAGAGTTCCTTCGTCGATTTGTCAATGTCAATCATAAAGCGTAATTACATCCGCAAGATTTCCGTGCTTCCCTACCTAAAATGATGGCTCTCGCACAGCTAAGAGCACTTTCACAGCTTTGCGTTGCGACAGGAGAAAAGCCTCTCGTGTCAGGAGTGTTCTTCCATACGCTGTGAAAGTTTCAGCAATGAGCCGCAATGGGTCTGCAGGAGGCCCTGGACTAAGGGCAGAACCCTGTCAACCTATGCACTGCTTAGATTCAACGTGGTACATTTGTGTAAGACATCATTCAGGCCCCTGTCTTTTTTCTTTGTTTCTTTGGCTTCAGAGTGTTTTTGCGATGAGATAATTACTTGACGCTATCGAGTTCTTCATAATTTCGGATTTCTCCGGACGTTTGTCGTTGATGGGGTAAAGATTAATAGAGGTATGTCTCGCTGGGTTTCTACCGGGGTGTCATGTATCTTTTGGCGTTCATCCCTCATTAGAAGGCAAGTCAGAGCCAAATTAGTCTCCATCCCGTGCAGTTGAGGCTGCCGTACATGGGGTTTTCAATGGTTTTGATCTGTACTATGGGACTTGCCTAGTGATTCTAGGTAAGAAGCGGCACCCAAATTCTCAAAAACACCCCACATAGCCGATGCCACCAGCCACCTGGATGCTTGTCCCACAAAAAAGCAAGCAAGAATTTGTCACATTAAACGCGTTGACTGAGTGCAGCAGTCTGGACGCTTATGTAAGTTTGCTACCCAGCCAGCCCTTCTACAGGATAAATCCAATTGAGCATTGTGCTGCGCCGTTCTGGAAAAACTGTCCTCCCCAAGACTACGAGAATAGCATCACCTCATGAAATCCATGCCAGGTCAGCAGATACTTGTTTATAACCACGTTGTGAACTGGAGTTCCGCACAGTTATTCACTTTGTGCAGACTACCATTGCGTCTCTAAATATCCCAGCTGCCCGAGGGTCGCGATCCTTGCTAGGATCCATAGAGCCCTAAACCTTACACCCAAAACTGCGTGGCTCTACGAGGCCGAGCAGCTGTCCGCCTGTCTGCAGCTGCAGCGAGGCCCATCATGCTCAACTTTGTCGGTACGCGGCTACTTGAACAGCATTTGGGGCTGAAGGATTGGTTTTCAGTGGTGTTACGCATAAGCAGCATGCAGCATAATCAAGGTCGTGGTTATTGTTTATGGTAGTTAAAGCCAAAGCTACTACTCCTGAACCTCCATGTAGTTCCATGCCAAGGAATGGATGCAGCTGTTGGTTCCTAACTCTGATGGGATGCTTTCTCTGCAGTCCTGACATGATGGCTTCCCTTTTGGGCCATGCCCAACGGATGCGAGTGACTTCAACATCTCGACTCAACTTCAACACCCCTAAGTTCCAAGGAGTATATAGAGGAAAAACATTAGAGTGGAGGCGAAGGAGTGAGGGCAAGGTCCTTGTGGCGCGAATCTTTGTGCGATTGTGACAGTCCTCTGCCAATAGATAGACTTTTTAGGCTTTGTACGCGCGGAAAAGCTGCATGAACAAGCTTCGGCAAATAATGAATTGTCAACATTTGCACGAGCTTTCCTCTCGATGTCAGTTGCGTGGCCGTATTCCGATGTCTTCATATTGATGGTTCCCCAAAACGGTTGGGATCCTCGTCAGACGCCGCTATGGCCCCGTTGTCTTGGGCTTCAGAGGCTTGTGTTAGTTTTAAAAGTATGCGCCCAGTGGTTTTCGGAGTTTTTGGTCCTTGTGGCAGAAGTAATGTTACAGCAAGCGTTGCGACTATGCCCATTGCTAACGACACTTGCTACAGCCGCAATCATTGGTTTTAACGCCTGATATACCAACACGCGGCTCAGCAGGTGTGGACGGGCGTCGACCTTAGCCTATGCTGGAAAACGGCAGGGCACAACATGAGTTTGATGGTAATCGTGGTAGTAGCTCTTCTATCCAACGGCATCTCTTGCGTTGGGCAGGGCAGCATCGGTGCTACTAGCCCCATTGGTCCCAGCAACGTACCCGCCCGCTGTGGCGGAAGCAGTATTGGCGCTCATTGGCGCAGGAATGGAAAACCGACGATGCTTGTAGCACATGTTGGCCGAACAACGTCATTCCTGCTACTCTTCAGAAAGCCAATCTGCAGCTGTATTTGCAGCCTGCGCAGACTCTGTTTTTATCTTCGTCTACTCCCTCTCTATGTCACCCGTGTGAGCGCAGAGCATTCCTGACCACTTCACAATGCCTGAAGGACCCTTTCAAGATGCATGAGCCCTCTACAATTCCCCGCGATGTTTTCAAGCCCGCAGCCTAAGGCCTGTCCCTCATGGTTGCATGCACTTGCAGCCACAGCACTGGCTCGGACCCTACGTACTGAAAATGGGACCCTCAGAAATGGATTGTTCAAATCATTTGGATGGTTCTGTTTTCCTCCGACAGGATGGGGTTCTATAGGATTCTATAGGGATCCTGCTACGCTGTTGGTCTTCTTCTTGTTTGTGCTCCCAGAAGGATTGAAGAGACGCCTTCTTGAGATGTAACCACCTGGATGCAGGACATAGGGCTTAGGTCTCAAGGTTCATGTGTAGGTTTAAGGTTCAGAGCTCACAACTTAAGTTTGCATTCGTTGGGAGTGGCTCGTAGGCATTCAGTGCTTGTAATAGGTACGGGTGGGAATCCGAGACATTACGGTATCTGGTGGTGTCGACAGGTCGTGCTCGTTGGCACCGCTATGTCGCAGTTATGAAGAACCCTACTTTTTTGGGGAGAGCACAGATCCTTGTTGAGGTGGGTGAGTGTAAGAACGGGAGTCCCAACAATGCCACCTACATGCCTGGTGGCTTTTCCAAGCTGTTTGCACGTGGCTTGCAATTTGCTGTCCCTGGGCTCAAGCATCAATATGGTGCGGTAGCCAAGCCCGGATCCTTGAACCTCTGAGGCTTCGGGCAGGTGAAACTGCGGCCTGGGCCCTTGAGATGTAAAGATAAATGTTCATGCTTCAGTCACTTCGGTGCACAAAGGTCACTCATCCAGGAAAACCCGAGCTAGAGCTAGGACCTCAGCCAGTGCAGTTACAGCTACCAGCATCCAGAACCAGAGAAACTGAAGCTTGGAGCGTGTGAGCTCCCTGACTTCTAGATTCCTGCAGCCTTGACAAAGCAAAATCCCCCGAAGGCAACCCAGGCCTCTCCTTGGCTTAGCATCACCTCCTTCTGGTAGTGAAACACCTTACGTTTACACGCGCGCGAAGAACCACGTCGGGGCCTGAGATGTTTTGCTTAAAGTCTGTAGTGGGAGTGCGTGTGTGCCGTACCCTCTCCTTGCCTTTTGGCTACATTTGTAACGCTTTGAGGTTCCCATCCCTCTTCGTTTCGTTCCATCATGCCGGGCGTACGCTACACGCATCCCAGACTCCTGGGATCACAAGGCCCCATTCCATAGAGTCCGTATCGATTTGAGGATGTGGCGTGCTAAGGGGTCCTCTTTATGTGCTTTCAGTTTAGGGTTGCTAGTTCTTATGCCCTGTAAGGGGCATCAGCCTGTATTTGCGAGAGGATCAGTTGAGGACTGATGGCATCTCTTGGCTGTTTGGGTTTGTCCTTCATGATGTCACATTTACTCATCATTGAGTGCAAGCAGAACGACAGCTTGGGACTGATTTCTCATATCCAGATTTCACCAGACATCGCGAGTTCTCCCCGCATGCCATCTTAGGGTCAGTTTCAGAAAACATCCTCAACCCGGCCCAAGACTAAATCTTTAGTATTGCGCCCTTGAATGAATCCTGTTGTAGCCTCAGCTCTAGGCACTCATCATGGAGCGGCAGCGGGCGCCCATCCGGCGGCTGGGTCACAGATTTGGCCCGTCAATTAGATGAGAAAGTACTATGCCTAAGATAGTAAGGGAACTTCTCCTAATTCCACAGTGTTTCTCCCATCATCTCAGAGTGATTGGGGCATTGAGGAAGTGCGCTGATATGCGCGAATTGCTTTTGCCGGTTTCAGACTTGGGTTCGCTGCTCAAGCTGGGTGCTCTTGCCACAGCTTTCCCCGAAGCAGGGAGATTTCCAACCGCGTTTTTCCGCTTGTTTTTTTTTTTTTTTTTCCGGCAGG